TGCACTCAGCAGGGTTTTTATCGGTCATACTAGTCTGTCACGATGAGCTGAAGCGCTCTATATGGGCGTTGGATTTCTGGACCGTGGTCCGAGTCAAGTGGTCCATGGCTCTCGACCCTGGTCTGAAATGATCCTCCACCTCCCATCCAAAAACCCATCAAAACTCCTGTGTCCAATCGAAAGCTGCCGGTGTATCATCCTTCGGAAAGATGTCGGTCGGTTGGTGACTGTCCAAGAGTGTCCGGTAAGCTGCTCTATCTTAACTTGCACCCAAGCCAATCATTACACATTCCAACGCGCCCGCTTTCACTATTAGCTTCCCGAACCTCCACACCTCACTTCCACCGGACCATCCACCCGATGTTGGCTAGTACCCAGTCCGACGAGTTTCGAAAACATCGGGTTTTCCAAACCAGTCGGCCAAGTCGCAGGGAACGAGAGACGATGGTTGTCGTGTGGTGCCTGTGACTTTGGACCGCTGGGCTGGACAGAATCTCCGACTAACTTGGCAAAGCAGTTCGCTAATGATCCTCAGGGTCGATTCGGCAACGTGCTTTTATTGGTGGGATGTAATCGAGTCTTTCCAGCCGAATAAGTCAGATGCAGATACCCCTTTCAGCCTTTGCCCCACCGTAGACAACGAACAAAACACGATGGGTTCTCAACCTTTAGATAATTTTTCGCGATCTCAAAAATTCCTTTCAAGCATGATACCGACCTCTTCAATTGCGACCATGTCCAGCACTGGCACTCTGTAAACGATTTTGTTATTATTTCTCAGAACAAGAAAGATGACCTTCCCACCTTCTAAACTTTAGTCAATCTTGAGGTTCATTTGCGGTGTGAGGGGCTCATCCATCAAGATTTTACTTTACCCGCTGTACTCATCCTTCAAAAATTGCATGGAGGTGGTGTATGATACCAAAGGTATTAATGTCCTTTTCTTTTCTTTGGAGCCATATAAAAACTTCAAGGAAAAAAAAAGTATTTTTTGTCATTCTTATGGCTGGAACTTGAAGCATCTCACACCACTGTGTCAAGCCTCATTAATGAAAGGGTTTGAGTTGACCTTCTAGAATAAACAAACAGTATATTTATCCACCCACAGGAAAAAACAATGAACACTTGATGACAAGTGACATCAAGCTAAGACCAGTGCACTAATGATTATATATGCAGCTCAGCTCTGCCTCAGCCCCCTGTGGCACAGAGAACAGGTTTGATGACTGGGAGCCAATTTCTAACATTTCATCTTTTTTTCTAGAGTAGTTTGACAATGGCTAGTTACTTTTGAAAAATGAATGAAAAATCCCCCCCCCCCACAAATGAGTCAAAAAATGTGGCAAAATATTGAAAATTTGTACAAAATAATTTTCTGTCCAGTTGAAACTAATTTTCCACAGTGTCACCAGGAAGCATCAATTGCAGTCCATCAGTTTGCCCTCTATACTCCAATCAAAGGGTTGCATTTTTCCTGTCAAGGGGCTGTACACTTGATATCATATTATTTTTTGAATCCAATATAGGATTCAAGAATCTACAATTATAATCACTTCCTTCTTCAATGGCTTTGTCCCTGTAAATTTGTCCCTGTGAGTTTTTTTATTAACCTTGGTTGGGCAATTTCTATAAGCTGATTGCACCCTGGATCCTCTCTCTAGCAGTGAGAGATCCTAGAGAAGATGGCCTGCACAAAATATCTCTCCTCAGTCAAATTTCATATTCCTCTTCGGCCACTTGACTTAATCCTACAATTGTTTGAAGATGGAGAAAGTGACTCTCTGATTCACCAATTCCACCCATGCATGGAACATTACATCTTACAAGTGATATGTGAGGAACTCAAGTCAAGTTCATGGGTTGAATCCCTGTGTTCTCAATAAACTGCAAAACATGATGTAGCAAATTCCAGTCCATCTTTCCGTTAACAAAAGAACAGGAAAAATCATGAAAACTTGATTTCAGTCAAAATTTTAGTCCTTCCTTGGGTGGAATTTTTTTCTTTTTTTTGAAGGTCACCACTGTCCTTCTCATTTTGGTTCGGGTTGTTGAACTGATGATGATGAAGTTGCTCAAGTTGGTTGATCTGGATCGGCTCTACTTTTATGCTGAAGGTGTACAATGTATTACTCTGATGATGAGATCATTGATGCCCATCGTCGGCAGTGATCGACTGTCTCATCCCTATACTCAAGTCTCACCCGGTTTGTTTTCGTTCGGCCCAAAGGGAAACGCCGGTTCTGAGGCTGAAGAATGTCTTGGCTGTCTTGGATCAGCTTGGATCCCTGGATTTGATCGAGGTCGAGTGTGCTGTGCTGGTGAAATTGCTTATGTAAGAATAAGATAGATAGATAGATAACCTTGATGTCCATCATGCTAAGTTAAATATAAATTTGTTCTCACTCCCAGTCCCCTGCACTCCCATCTACTCCAACAGCTCCTCACTCATACTCAACCACCTCACACAAAAACCAACAAACCAAACAGATAAATATCAGCCCTCTCTCTGTCTCTCGTACCACTCACTGCCCACTAGCTACGGTACTTGGTTCGGAGGTAAACCAGCATCACCTCACCTGTTGACTGAATCTGTTTAGCTCTTGAACGCGATCTTGACTCGATTCTTATTATTCTGTAGGAAATTGTCACTCGGTCATCATGCATCGCCTCAACCTCAACAAGATCGCATCCGCTCCGAGGTTCCTCTCTAACTCATTGGCACCCTCAAACCGTCTCACATCGAAATTCACGAAATCCTCTCAGAACTTACGCCATCTTGCAACAGCTACTAACGACCAAGTACTTCGGAAAGCTCCTTCCCCCGTCGATGGCTTTGTCAATTCAAATAACAGCTATTACATCGAAGAGAGTCAGTTTCATTCAACAAAAAAAAACAAAATCATATCCTTCTTGTTGTTCATTATGCTGATTCATTCTCATTTTTAATTTCTGATCGGTAGTGTATCGGATGTGGAGGAAAGATCCGGGTTCGGTCCATGCATCCTGGAACGTCTATTTCTCTGGTTTGGAAAAAGGCTTGCCTTCCGAGAACGCATTCAGACCTCCTCCTGGGCTCGTGAGCATGCCTCAGCCTGCTGGCGGAGCCCCAATGCTAGCAATGCCTGGCTCAGGCGGTGAAGTAGAAGACCACATGAAAGTCAGCACCTGGTATCCTTGTATCCTTGTATCCTTTTGAACATTCCCATCTCATCTTTCTTCCACGAGCCTTCTGATCTGATCCTTTTCTTTTTCTTCCCCATACCACTCGTAGATTCAACTCTTGGTTCGAGCCTACCAAGTCAGAGGGCATCATATCGCCAAACTCGACCCTCTAAATCTATCAGAGGCCGATCTTCAGACCATCAGACCGCCTGAAATGGACTTGAAACACTACGGATTCGATGAAAACACCGATTACGAGAAAGAGTTCTCCCTCGGGCCTGGTATTCTGCCTCTCTTCCACACCAAAGATCGCGAGAAAATGAAGTTGAGGGAGATTATCGAAGCTTGTAATCGAATTTACTGTAAGCATTAATTATCTTGGCCCTTCTACCATTATAATCATTCACAGCTGCCCAATGGCGTTCTTGGACTAACAATCAATCTATCCTATCCTAGGCGGTCACATTGGTTTACAATACGTTCATTTGCCCGATCGGAAAGAATGCGATTGGATTAGAGAGCGAGTGGAATTACCGGTCCCATGGAGTTATTCATTGGAAGAAAAGCGGATGATCCTTGACCGGTTGATCTGGTCTGATTCATTCGAACGATTTGTGGCCTCAAAGCACCCTAATGAGAAGAGGTTTGGGCTAGAGGGTGGCGAAAGTCTGATTCCAGGTATGAAAGCTCTAATCGATCGATCAGTGGATGCAGGTGTCAAGAGTATCGTCATTGGCATGCCCCATCGTGGCAGGTTGAACGTCTTGTCAAACGTGGTCAGGAAGCCTATGGAGGCTATCTTCAACGAATTCGCCGGCTCAGCTGATGCGTCTGAAGATGGCGGAGGTGATGTCAAATATCATCTTGGTGCCAACTACGTGCGCCCGACGCCTTCCGGAAAGAAAGTGGCACTTTCTCTAGTCGCCAATCCCTCTCATCTTGAAGCCGAGGACCCCGTAGTGCTAGGCAAGACCAAAGCTCTACAACACTTCGATGGCGAAGGCTCTACCGATCACGCCATGGGAATCTTGTTACACGGTGACGCGGCCTTCGCTGGTCAGGGTGTGGTCTACGAGACCATGGGCTTTCACGATCTACCTCACTTTGGAACTGGCGGGACGGTTCACTTGGTGATCAACAATCAAATCGGGTTTACCACTGATCCTCGCCAAGGTCGTTCGACCCCTTACTGCACAGATATCGCTAAATCTATCGATGCGCCCATCTTTCACGTTAATGGCGACGATGCCGAGGCTGTCACCTTCGTCTGTCAGCTTGCTGCTGATTGGAGAGCTGCGTTCAAGAAGGATGTCGTTGTTGACATTGTCTGCTACCGTCGTCACGGTCACAACGAGACCGATCAGCCCAGCTTCACACAGCCGAAGATGTACCAAGCCATTGGCCAGCAGCCACCAACTCTGAAAATCTACACCGATCACTTGATCAAAGAAGGGAGCTTCACCGAACAAGAAAATCAACAATCACAAAGAATGGGTGTGGAGTATGATGGAGAAGGCCTACGAAGGAAGTCAGGATTACAACCCAACTTCGCGAGAGTGGCTGTCGAGCTCGTGGGACGGATTCCCATCTCCCAAGGAGCTCAAAGAAAACATCCTCGAGGCCCGGCCTACGGGAGTAGAAAGGAGTGTCATGAACAAAATTGGTGACACGATATCTGGAGGATGGCCAGAGAACTTTGAGGTCCACAAAAACCTCGGAAGAATTCTCAAGAACCGAGGTAAAACGATTGCGGAGGGTGACCAGATTGATTGGTCGACAGCCGAAGCCCTGGCATTTGGTTCATTATTACTAGAAGGTAATCATGTCCGGGTTTCAGGGCAAGATGTCGAACGTGGTACCTTTTCTCAAAGACATGCGGTCCTACATGATCAGAAAACAAACGATAATTACATCCCATTGAGTAACCTCAAACCCGAGGGATCGGATCCCGTTGGCCCGTTCACGATTTGCAATTCGTCCTTATCCGAGTTTGGAGCTCTGGGATTCGAGTTGGGATACTCCTTGGTTGACCCTCATCTACTCACTATGTGGGAGGCTCAATTTGGCGACTTTGCCAATAATGTCAGTTAAAGATTACGTTGATAATTTGGAGTTCAAGTAAATGCTAATCATTCGATTTCCTCTGATGTATGATATCTAGGCCCAATGTATCATTGATCAGTTTATTTGTTCTGGGGAAAGAAAATGGCTACAGAGAACTGGCTTGGTGATGTCATTACCCCATGGGTACGATGGACAAGGACCAGAACATTCGAGTGCCCGGATCGAAAGATTCTTACAACTCTGCGATGACGACCCTTTCAAATTCCCGACGCCGGAGAAGGCTCAGCGAATCCATCAAGATTGTAACATGCAATTAGTTTATTGCACGACTCCTTCGAACTATTTCCATGTCTTGAGGAGACAGATCCACCGTGACTTCCGGAAACCCTTGATCGTCTTCTTCTCAAAATCGTTGTTGAGACATCCCTTGGCTAAATCATCTGTCACCGAAATGGAACCCGGTACATTTTTTATTCCTTTGATACCGGAGCCTGGCTTTTCCGGTATGGTCGAGAACCACCAAATCAAACGTCATATAGTTGAGTGATTTGTAATTGCCGAGGTCATCTAACTTGTAGCTCATGATGATGTGCTTTTTACAGTTCTGCTCCGGTCAAGTCTATTACACATTACTCCAAGAGCGCGAGAAGCGAAACGTGAGTTTCGTGCAACTTCAAGACAGTCTTATCGCAATAATGCTCAAGTCGATCTTTTTAACCTTTTGTCTCCTCCCGCTTTGCATCATCGATTTCCGCAGATTAACGACATAGCCATCACTCGAATCGAACAGCTTTCACCAGTGCCGTATTACGAAATTGTTAAGGCTCTTGAAACTTATCCGAACAGCGATGTGATGTATTGTCAAGAAGAACCCGTCAATGGTCAGTTGATCTTTTGGCAATAATTTATGTATGTTGATTTTGACGATCAACTATCATTACCTCTCAGGCGGCGCGTACACGTACTTGGCTCCTCGATTAGAAAATGCGATGAACCAGACCGAAAACCATGCTGGCAAGAAGGTTTTGTACGCTGGTAGACCACCATGTAAGTCAAGCTCTCTGTATAAATATCTCTTCTCCCTTGGCTCGGGATCGCTAATCGCTGGTTGCTTGCAGACGCGTCCGTGGCTACTGGATCAAAGAAGATCCATAAACAAGAAGTTCAAGTCAGTCTCACTCCTTATAACCCCTCCAATCCACACTACGCACTCTTCATCCATCACTAATCCAATACTCTATTCTTTATCTTTTCTTAGCAATTCCTTGATCAAGCGCTTAACGTGTAAATATTCATCACATCATTCATAACGTTTGAACATAGATATAAAAGAGAGAGAGAAAAGAGAATGTGTTTTGTTTTGTTGTCTTCCTTTTTTTTTAAAACATATAAATTGGTTAGGTTTTTTTTTGGTATGGATGTAAAACATTTCTTAATTTCTTTCCATACATCAAAAAAAAAAACATATAAAATAATCCCCCTATCCCTTGGTTGAATCTTTTAGTCATCATTAAGTTTGATTTCTTTTTTTTTTATTCATTCATTCATACATACATACATCTATATAAAATTCTTTGTTATTATAACAAATTTCATCAAAGTATCTGGAGAGTAGAAGAATCAGAGGAAGAAAGGAAGAAACTCAGGGTGGTGATGCTTGCCATACATACAGATGGTCATAGTTAAAACACATGTAACTACTTTCCCCTGCCAATACCAGTTGGTTTTTCTTCATAAAAAAAGGATGCAGCTTTGAGATTTTCTGAGGTCTGACATTGGACCTGGTCAATTGAGTGCAGGTTTTTTTTGTAAGCCTATGCAATTGATACTCCTGGTGATATGTAAGAGAAAGGAGGCTATGTATTATAATCAGCTTCAAGATGGACTTGTTCTATAGCATGTGAGACTTTAATTTGAGATACTAACATGATTCCTTCTGGCTTCAAAAGTAAGAAAAAAATGTACTTAATAGGGAATACATATCAGATATAAGAAATCCACCATTATATAGAAACATTATCCTTTCTTTTCCAACCAATGGGTCTCCAAAGGGGGGAGATGAAGAACCTTTATGTTTAAACAATGGTGGGTTTTTCAAAACCAGTCAATTAAATAATGGTGGATTTGGTTATATTGTTTGGCACCCCTTAATTGGAATATAAGACTTTTTCTTTCATGCAGAAAGATACAAAACAAACATGTCTTGACATTGTGATGAATGAAGTTTGAGTTTTTTTTTAACAAATCATTTTAACAGGCTATAACAGACTCATGAAGTGAGCATACTATGTTGACTCACCACTGACCTCTACCAGCAACTGCCAGGCAACCATTACTTAAACTTTGCCATTTTGATAGCTTTGATTGAGGACAAAAAAACAAAAAAGTTAGTCTCTAGCACTATAAATTGACAGCTGATAATTAAAAGAAAAAGAACGGTAAGATACCTGATACCTTGGATGGATTGATTGGATAATGACTGTACTTCCTTCAGGTGTGTGTTGCTTGGCATACAGATTAACAGAGGCTGAATGTGTTAATTGGTAATCCATCATGTAAATCCTGAGCTTGTGAGTTTACAGATTGGACAAAGATAAATCCTCATTCATTCCATGATCAAGAGAGAAGTAAAAACTCCAATACTAACATTGTAAGATTGGGTGGTAATTAAAGTACTTTCAAGATGGAAGTTGCTGTCCAAGCAAAGCCCCCGTTCCCGATCAGGCCACCGGGGGTGTCGTTGCATATTGCATACCGACAGGGATGCAGATCGTGCGGAGATCGGAGCGGCGGACTCCAACCGTCAATCGGCCACCCAGCCTGACCACCACAACCACCAATCTCTCTTCAGGATCAGTTCAAGTGTCTCCTTGTGATCGAACGCTCAGCGAACCAACCCGGCACGATGGAAGTCGACTTCGAAGATCTCGTCACCAAGCAGCTTGATCCCAACGACTCATCCCAGACCCGGACCCAGGCGGAACATGCTGCACTACTTACTTCTCTCGACCGGGCCACTCGATCGAGGCAACTCGCCGTGCCTACCAATGAGGTCGCGATTCGTGTCAGACTACGCGAGCTTGGGGAGCCTATGACGCTCTTTGGTGAACGACCAGAAGATAGACGCGATCGGCTACGGTACGTGTTGAGTCAGATCGCCGAAGCCAAAGGCTGGGAACTCGAGAAGGACGCTGGGGCTGGTCAGGATGAAGGTGGCGTTGATGGGAAGGATGAATCTGATTCTGACGATGAAGAAGAGTTCTATACCGAAGGTTCTGAGGCCCTCTTAGTCGCCCGAAGATCGATTGCCGATTTCAGTCTGGCTAATGCTCGCAAACGAATCTCGCGTCAAAAGCTTGAAGCCAAACTTCCACTCAGTAAGATCATGGCTACCCGCAAATCGGTCTATGCTGAGCTTAAAGTGAGTCATAGAGTTTGAGAAACAAATGTTAAAAAAAGATATTCAATTATATGGCAAACTCATTCGAGCTTCTTTTTTTTGGTCCCAGACATACACAAATTTAGGATCACAGGTTGGAGATGAACGTCCGATTTCAATCGTCAGGTTCTCGCCCAACTCTCGACTGTTAGCCACCGGGTCTTGGACGGGAACAGCCAAGATTTGGAACGTCCCTAGTTGTACTCCCTATGCTGAAAGCAAAGAAAGCAAAAACATTTTCAAAGGTTCGTGGATTTCATTGGTTGATTTTCATGCACCTTTTTCTATTTTTTCCCTTAAAAAAATTTCGCCCGCCTTTTGGATAGTTTTCACAATCTTTGCGTTATTTTTCACTCCCCCATCCCCTCCCTCCGCTTCCTACATAATTCCCAAAAGAAGTTCTTTTGATTTAAAAAAAAGTGATGAAGAGATTCGATTTTTCACATTTACTGGTTTGATTATCCTCTGTTCACTCACCTGCTCCATCTGTCTCGTATTGCACACAGAGTGAGGCCACGAACCTCTTTCCTCAAAATTCACATTGGTCTATCCCACACTGCCGGATCCAACGACTGACGTCGTGTTCGTTTCTTCCTGGGTTCTTATCCTGCCCCTTATTCCTTCCTTCTCCCTCAATTTATTTCTGGCCGCGCCCCTGTCTTTATATATCCACCGCCATCCACATCTTCCTCTTACTCCATATTCAATGGACAGGTCACTCCGATCGAATCGGTGGTTTGGCTTGGCACCCCGGAGCCACCCTCAGCCAGTCCACATCTAGTGCGAACTTCATCACTGGTGGCGCAGATGCCAAAGTTCAAGTTTGGTCTCTAGACAAGTCAGTTTTGACAACGTGCTATTCCTGCACGTTTGAATGATATGTTGATTCACCGATCCGGTTCTGTTTTGCAGTGAACAGCCTCTTCGAACTCTGGAAGGACATGGTGCACGGGTTTGTCGTGTGGCGTTTCATCCTGCTGGTCGACATGTAGCGTCTAGTTCGTTCGATACAACCTGGCGTCTTTGGGATGTTGAGACGGGTGACGAGCTTCTGGTCCAAGAGGGACACTCGCGGGAAGTCTACAGTCTTGAATTCCAGTCCGATGGCGCATTACTATGTTCTGGTGGCTTGGATGCCATCGGACGGGTATGGGATCTCAGAAGCGGCAAGACAGTGATGGTACTTGATGGACATGTCAAAGACATCCTTGCCATTGACTTTTCTCCAAACGGGTAAGTTGCCTTTGTTAATTTTTCGTTGTTAACTTACAGTCATTTCTCAATTTTTGGACCTCATTTGATCCTTTCAATAATTGTGGAATAGGCATCAAATTGCAACTGGATCAAATGATGACAACATCAGGATATGGGACATCCGTACACTCAAAGCGATCTACACCATTCCAGCCCATACCTCAGCGGTCTCAGACGTCAAATTCTATCGTGCACCAGCAATCCCTGGCTTCAAGTTCCCGTATACGATTGACGTCGAAGGGAAGACTAAGGACGAGAAACAGAGCGCAGCGGCGTTTCTCAATGGCTCAGATCGAATCAAACTTGAGGAAGGCGAGCCTGTCGAAAACGAAGTTGAGGTTCCTCTCAGTGGTTTATACTTGGCCAGTTGTGGTTATGACGGCTATGTGAAATTGTGGTCTGCTGATGATTGGCAGTTAATCAAGGCCATGTCGAGTGAAGCCGGGGGGAGAGTAATGAGTGTAGATGTCGGCAGTGGTATGTCATTCTTTCATTCTTAATATTAACCCTCCAAGAAATGAGGCAATTGATGACAAATCGGTTTTGATTTTTTTTACTCAGACGGAAAATTTATGGCTTCTGGAGAATGGACAAGAACATTTAAGCTGTGGTCGGCCGAAAACATCTCGCTAACACTATAATAGATAATCTTTCATGATCTTTTTTCAGCAACCAAAACTAACAAAAAAAGCGCATCACAGAGAGACCCTTTCAGTGGAACGAATGTGAAACCAAGGTTGTTTGAATCGCTCCAGTGACTCTTCAGAGTGCCCGCACCCCCATGAATGTCTCGATCGCAGGATCGGAACATTTACAAAGTTATTGTATTCACTCGAAATCTGTAGAGGATGTGTAAGAATGAATAAGACGGCGGTGAATGGTGCCGTTTGTAGAAGACGGACACTAGATAAAGCCTTAGATTTCGTAGTTGGTAGAACAAACGTTCTACCCCAAGTCGCTCGATACCCTTCAAGCACTAAGCTAGGTTTGGACGGCGAATGATTCTCGAACATGGAATGTTCAATAAAGGCCGATGAAGTGGTGTCATGTTCAGAGGATTGGATTATTCATGGACATCTCTCGTGTGAAATACAATGTGCCCCCTCCTGTCTCTCCATCAACCTGAACAGGCCCCATCATCATCTAATATTCAGAGAATGGTGTGATGGATGAACTCATCTTTCAAGCGCTTGTATCGATGGAGGATCTGTCTATGTAAGCTACCATATGTCATTAGCACCATTCATGCAATCTTCACCAATGAGAGAAATGGTTGGAGAAGATGTGTGTGGGTACATTGGAATGCTGATCTTCAAGCAGTCTTGGAGAAGAATTAATAGCCATGAAGCTTAAGCCATGTGTCTCACGACTCAAATGCGACCTTCATCTTCACAAGTCAAAAATTGCAACAAGTTTTATCCATTTTTCCATGTATCTAAAAATTGCTCAACCAGAATTACCATGACATTTTTTCTAGCTACATTGAACAAGTTTTTCTTTCCTGCTATGTAAGCCAGCAATCCCCCTGCTAATTTCAGAATGATTTCCTCAGAGACTGAAGCCGAATTTCCAGAGAGACAGACAGAGGTATTTGCAGCCACATTGCAATGTGAATCTCTCTTCCATCAGTGGTTCTGTGTCCCCTATGATCGCGATCCACAGTGATGATGATAGCTGATCATGTGCTGCCGTCAGATCCAGTCTCATTAGCTCTCACCAATGTCCTACATAGTGTGTCAATATGAATCTCAAATTCCTCCCTTCGCGGACGCCCAAGCAGTTGGTTGATAGGAGATCGTTTCCACTGTCTTTGTGGCAGTGGAGGATTAACGAGCACAGCCTGCAGGATGAGTGTTCTTCCATGCCGATATTTCAATTTCAGACCGGCTGCGGACGAGCGGTGAATTAGTATTGTATTTATGTAAGTACGAATATGGGATCATACAGTAGTTCCGACTTAAGATCCGAGTCTGGTCAACTCTGGGGCTTCCTTCGACCTAAATATGTGTGTGTTGCCGAGCGAGCCCAAGGACTTACACACCTCGAGAGACGACGATACATTGTTGTACCATATGAAAGGAGACTCTGCCTGGAAATCCCATTCTTGAAGCTGGGGCGGATGGGATGGGATGGTGGTGGATTTAAGAGACGCTGTCGATCGGCTGGCTGGAAGGATTTATGATTTGATGATGAGGGGGTATGTAAATGGAATCAGCTGGGCCGATGCTACATAATGTTATTTTTTGTGGCCAGTCTATGTGTTTATGGGTGTGTGGGGATTGATTTGATGATTAAAAGTTTCACAGAAATGTACAGAATACAGGCTGCGATGATGTAGTTGCAGTTGAGTGGGAGCTCTTGTATGCCAATTTATTTTGTTTTTTTTTCTTTTTTTGATTATTTAGGTCTGGACTAGACCCAGCGACGGCCAGCTCTTCCGATTCCCAACTGACAAGACAAGAAACTGGCTGCAGCAACTTGTTGTAACCAATCTTCAATCGACCAGCAGATTGACCCTGACAGACTTTCACCCACACTCACACAACACAACAACTCTCGCTTGATACTCTCACTTATTTAAAACAGTTTTCAGATTCAGATTGTTTTTTTTCTTTCTTTCTTTTTAATTCAATCTTCCTTATCCCTCTCTCTCTCTCTCTTTATTATATCCCTCTCCTTTTCCTTCGACTAGGCTCGAATCGTCATCCAATCCACTTCTGTCTAAACACTACCACTGATTATTACAACAGATAGATAGTTATAGTCATATAACCTATTAACCCCCACCCAGATATCACCCCCCCTTCAGGTAGCCGGGTAGCTCCCCCTCCCCACCTCTCTCCCCCTTGTAATTAATTCACAGCAAACAAGAATCAACAGCAACACCAACAACAAAAAAAAAAGAAGAAGAAAATAGGACTCTAGCGTAAGCCAGGATGGCTCATCATCACTCTGAACGTCAACCGCTCGAGGGCCTGCCACCCTTACCAAGCACTGACCCCACCAGCACCGGCACCGGCACCGGCAGCAGCACAGCCAATCAGCCCATCCCACCCTCCTTCGATCCCTCGTTGGTAAACCCGCCTCCACCATCGACCATCGGCGACTCTGATAGTGCCAAGGCCTCCAAGAGCTCACCCAGCTCCGATCCGGCGAACAGCCCGACCAACGACCCCTTGAGTCCGCCCACCGATCCGAACAACCCCGGCAATTCAGGCTCCAGCACATCCAAACCGCCCGATCAGTCGCTCGGTGCACCCGCTCCGACCTCCTCTTCGCTACCCTCATCCGATCACAGCAAGCACCCCAACGATCCCACCAGTCCTCACGACGGAGCTAGTACGACCCCATCCGACTCGCCATTACCCGGCTCGCCGACCTCCTCAAGCCCGGCCTCAGTCGCCTCGCAGCCCCCTCAGAGCCCGTCTGAACAATCCCAAAACCCCTCCCAGACCAGTTCCGCCAGTCTGACCACCGCTTCAGCCGCCCCGGTACCCGCCTCAAACACATCCTCCAAGCGTCCAAACCCAACCAGCCCCATCCAGAGCGACTTGCCCTCTGGCCAGCCGATCGCCGGAACTGTCAACCCTAGCACGATCGACCAGGCCACCGGTGCCAAATCAGCCGACTCCTCCGCATCCCGCGCCGCCCGTCCTCAGCAGCAAAACTCCCACTCAGATGACAGCACTGGCACCCACGTCGGTACCATCATGGGCATCCTCGTCGCCGCCGTCATCGGTGCACTCATCCTGGCAGGCATACTGGGCATGATCAAGCGTAAGAGGAGAGAAAGACAAAACCAAGCAGCTTTCCACCAAGACATTGTCCGTCGATTTTTTTTTAATTCTTGTCCTTAATTTTGAGCTGGTCTGTTAACATTGATTTACATGATTTTGCTGTGAACAGTTTCAAGAGAAGAATTCGTTTGAGCCTGAAATGGATCGAAAGAGTTTTGGCTCGGCGAGGAACCCTATGAACACGGAAGGAAGTCGCAGCTTCAATCCGCGTGGCGACGGGATTTTCGGACCCCGTCCGCCTTCGATCATCGAGCGACACCAGGCCTCGCCGGCCATCCCGGCGCCCATGCCCAGCTACCAACCCGGCCAGGTGCTCACTTATCCCCACTATCCCGGCCAACCGCAGCAGCAGTCTTTCAACCTCCACCGACCCAAGCCTCCCACCTATCACAGTGGATATCCTGAAGAATCGGGTCTCGCTTATGCCGCTAACCCGCCCGTAGAACCTTCTCCCAATCCCCGTTCTAATAATACTCACGACCAGAAGCACGTAACGTATGTTTCTGCCATCTAGTGTGCATGCATTTAGAGCTCGAACTGACTCCTATCTATCTCAATTTGCTGTCAATTCCATACAAAAAAAGACTTGAGATGTCTCATCAAGATTCTCCTCAATCTAACCGATACGAGTACCATGGAGGAAACCAGCATATTCCGATGCAAAACATGATGGGACATGGAACCGCAGGAGGGCTCAGTCCATCGACGTATCCAGTCACCGGAGGGGTGGTCAATCATCCGGGACCGGTGCCGAACTATCAGCAACAGGTAGATCAGTTAGATTTCTTCGGACAACCCTCGCCAGCCTTGACGATGGTAGGCCATATGACGACGGACTGGAACCAAGGCGGCTCGCCGCACGAGAAGCCCCTGGCCCCGCCTCCACTCAGCCCCATCTCGATGATGACCCCACCTGGGCCCCTCCCGAGCGAGGAAGACCGTTCAGGAACACCAATGAACCCTAACCTCCAACAAAGCTATCTCGACTGCGACAGTAAGGTCTCCGAGCATTTGCCCATCAGCGACTCTCTCCCTCATCCATCCTCCGATGACCATGGCTTCCAAAGCGCACCCATCAGCGGAAACGAGGACTGGAAACTTGCGAGCCCTCATCTCTCTAGCCCCTTGGGCGAGATGTTCAAGGATGACGCTTATCTTGGTGCTTCCATCGATCAACATCATCTTTCCGATACCGATCACAACAAACCTTCTGCTCATTCCAGTCTCAAAGTTATCAACCCTTGAGTGACTTCTTCTTCTTTTTTTTTCTTTTTACGTACCAAAACATCTCCTTGATCGGATGACACTTTATTTATTTTAAGAAAATAAAAAAAAAACCAACCTGGCATGTCTCTGCTTGGGTTTTTACTTTATCCCATTCATTCATTTTCAGACACCACCACTACCACCACAGATTTATTTATATATTTACCGTTTCATTTTTACTTTTTCAACTCTTTGTAGATATATATATATGAATCCTGTATGGATTTATTCTCATTTACTTTTCTCTCTTGGTTGCCAACAACCCCTTTTTTTCTCTCAAGTACTTCATTTGCTCCTATTAGATTTAACTATTAGCTACACCCCCCCCCCCCCCCCTCTCTACACAAACAAACAAACAAACACCAACAAGACTATCCAACAATCTTTTATTCCTACACACACCACACACTTCTACTCTCTCACTCTCACACACTCAGAGACTTGCCATATTTATTTATGCAGAATTTGTGTGGACTTGTTTTTGTTTTTTTTTTCTCTGCTTCATCCTCTCTTCTCCTTTTTTTGTTTGATTTCATTACATTGTCATGTCACTCATTCTTGGACAAAAAAATGGATGCTCGGGTCATTCTTTTTTTTTCCTTTGATGATCTTAAGAATTGTTTTTTTTCCTACATTTTTTTTTTAAAAAAAAAATACTATTACTCATTTGAATGTCCTATCAAAAAAAAAAAAATAAATAAATAAATCAACACAAAAAAAAACATGTCTCTTATTTACATTCTTTTTTCTTCTTTGTTTCTCCTTTTTTTTTTAGCTTTTTTTTGTTTAGGTTTTTTTTATCTTACACATGATCATGAAAGAAAAGTAATTTGAAAACGATTAAAATCAACACCCCAAAGAAGAAAAAAAAATGTAAATGAGCATCATCATTAATCTGTCCCACCCCCGCACACACAAGCCATATTAATGGTGTTTCACATGTTGAACAAATCTTGGCTGAAGTATCTGCAACTTGCAGATGCAGGATTGACAAGGCCAACATGGTTGTGAATCCATGGCAGATCCATTTTTTGAAAGATAGTTAATTTTGTAGTGATTTTTGAAAATATGTAGAGGAGGGGTGGAAGGGAATGAAGGGATGAAAACCAGGACGAAATGCAAGCTGGGGTGCCAAGATATTTTTTTGGCTCTGGGGCAGGTCTATATGCATTCAGGGACAACAGCACTCATGAGGCTTCTTCTTTCCACTCCAGCCATTTGCGATTCCTGGCCCTGCAAGCAGTTTGATTTTGTGTGCACAAC